GAATTCTTTAAAATGAAAATAAGGAAGGATAAATGGTTTTATTTACTGGAGGCTAAAATTCATCTGATCTAGCAATTATATCGGATTAGATTAGCAATAATTATTAATGCAAGACTAGCCGTAATCAATCATATCACATGCTTCTCTCAAAATGAGTTAAAACTTGATTTAAAGTAAAGACAAAGGTAAATGGTCTCGTTATTTTTAGGTGGTAGCAAAAACCATAACACAAGACCAATAACCTTGATTTATTAACATAGGATTCACCAATTCCCCATGGAGTTATTTGCCCACCAGCAACTATAGTTGCTGAACTTTTGACATAGTATACAATAAACTATAGATCTTTTGAAAGATTCATTTAGTTTGGCTGAAACTAAAGACCTTTATGAATGTGTTGATATTTATTTGTGAAACAAAACTATTTTTAGTGACCAAAAATTGTCTTTATTTGGGAGGGTTTATCACATAACACAAGGAAATTAAATCCTTTTTTTATTTCCTGAAAAGTTTTATTTGGTTGTTTGCCTGCATATTATTTGGAAATTAAACATACAGATAACCTGTATAAAATGCACCACTATAAAGCTGCAGGCCCGGAGACCCAACTGCACTCTCAGACCTGCACTTCCAGACCTAATGTTAGGGATAGCGTTAATTGTCCGATGTTGCTCTTTGCTAGAAAGTGTTGGTCTGAGCGTGCAGATGCAAGATGTTCTTGCTGCATTCTGTAACCATGATGACGTACTGGACCAGGTCCACTACATAGTGGACATTGTACCACCCACTAAGGTAATGCCCATGCTACTGTAACAGGAAGGGGGAGGTGTAGGCGATTGTCCATAAGTAGTGGACCTGGTCCACATCATCAAGCTGCGAGCTGCAGCGAGGACTGTTTCTGCAGCTGGGTCTCCGGACATGCCGTTTTACCCGACCCAACAGCAGGTGGCACTGTTTGAGAAAACAATAAGGCCCAATCCCAACTCTACCCCTTAGCCCTTACCCCTTGTTTTTCACGTTTGCGTGAAGGGGTAGGGCTGTTCCCCTTCGGGGGGAACTCCAGCACTATAAGTGGATTGATGTTAAATCCACGTATGGGAGATTCGGTTCAGAAGCTACTCGTCTGAAAGAGTACTCGTCTGAAAGAGTATTGCAAGCCTGCGCAGGTGTGCTGCATAGGCAATTAACTGAGCATATAAGCACACCTGGCGCCAGCAGACGATATCCTATTCCTATCCTAGTGCTCGGGGGCGGTTCATGTCGTCACTACGATGCCATGACCGTCGCGCAGTTGAGATCGCGGCTAACTTTCGTGAGAGAGCAAGCCACCCCAGTTGCCTCCTGTTCTGCAGCGGGCACTCGGGCAGATCTGAGGGTTCCAGTGAAAGATAATCCACCGCCTAAGGGCTCGCGGACCTCTCGCTCCTCCAAGCGCTCCATCCAAGCTTCGGGCGCTGGGAGTGATACGTCTAATCAGATGGTAGCTCTCACGCTCGCTGACACCGGAGATCAGATGTCCTCCGCGGCATCGGAGGGTGGGCTTTCATTGTCCGACGATGATCCGGACCCGCTCGCCCCCTTCGGGCAGGTGAGTGCTGTCAAAACGGATACTGAAACGGACATGTTAGCCGTGCTTTTCTGGGCTGCTTCGGCCGTGGGTTGGAGATGGTTTATCCCCCAGCTCCGCGGCCGGACCGACTAGAGGGGCATGCCCTTCTTCCCGGCGACGAACAGTAGGCTCACGCAGTCTTAAAGAGCACCTTTTTTCTGCTCGTGCTGCATGTCCCTCCACCCTCACCACTCTTGGTGGTGGAGCGGCCAGGGGGTATGTGGCTCACGGGCACTGCAGGCCCTGCCAGCCTGGGACGCGCCGCCTCTCAGCTCGCAAGGTCTGCATGCTCCGCCAGCGGCTCACGGGCGCTGTGGGGCGCGGTCTCCCTTCTCCCAGCCCCCAAGCCCCCCTCCGGAGTCAGGGTGCGGAGCCAGAGCGAATCGCTCTCCTCCAGCTCTTCTGTGGGACCCTCGCGCTCCCCGGATTAGCACACCCGCTCCGCGCTGCCCCTCCGCGGGTACGTCAACAATTGCTGCGATGACGTCATTAGCGAGGGCTCTGCCTGCCTGGTTAGCGCAGGCCAGCCCCTCGCGGTGGCTCATATGCGTGATCAGACTCGGCTACGAACTGCAGTTTTCGAAAGGCCTCCCAAGTTTATGGGCGTGTATTCACCAGGGTTAATCCCCTGTCCGCCCCTGTCTTGCGAGAGGAGATTGCTGCCCTCCTGGCGAAGGGTGCAATCGAGCCGGTACCTCCAGCCGAGATGGAGAGCGGGTTTTACAGCCCGTACTTCATCGTACCCAAAAAGAGTGGTGGGTCACGGCCAATCCTAGATCTGCGCGTTTTGAATCGCTGCCTTCACAAGCTGTTGTTCAGAATGCTTACGCAGAAGCGCATCCTCTGATGCGTCCGCCCTCAGGATTGGTTTGCAGCCATAGACCTAAAGGACTTGTATTTTCATGTCTCCATTCTTCCACGCCACCGTCAGTTTCTGCGGTTTGTGTTCGAAGGTCGAGCATGGCAGTACAAGGTCCTCCCCTTCGGGCTCTCTCTGTCTCCGCGGGTCTTCACCAAACTCGCGGAGGGTGCCCTAGCGCCCCTTCGGCTCGCGGGCATCCGCGTACTCAATTGTCTCGACGATTGGCTGATTTTAGCCCACTCTCGGGAGTAACTGACTGCGCACAGAGACGAGGTGCTCCGGCATCTTCGCCGATTGGGGTTGCAGGTCAACTGGGAAAAGAGCAAACTCGCCCCGGTGCGGAGGATCTCTTTTCTCGGAATGGAGCTGGACTGGGTCACCATGGTAGCGCGCCTCTCCGGAGAGCACGCTCGCCTGCTGCTGAGCTGTCTGAGGGAGCTCGACAGCAAGTTAGTGGTCCCACTGAAATATTTTCAGAGGCTCCTGGGGCATATGGCTTCCGCTGCGGCTGTCACGCCGCTCGGATTGCTCCATAGGAGACCACTTCAGCACTGGCTTCAAGACCGAGTTCCGAGACGCGCATGGCATGCGGGCACACACCGAGTCTCTGTTACTGCACTGTGTCGCCGCACCCTCAGCCCCTGGAACGACCCCTCGTTCCTGCAGGCCGGTGTGCCTCTGGGACAGGCGTCCAGTCATGTTGTTGTTTCGACAGATGCTTCCAGCACAGGCTGGGGAGCCGTGTGTCATGGGCATGCAGCTGCGGGCCTGTGGGTAGGTGCCCAGCTGCATTGGCATATCAATCGCTTAGAGCTGTTGGCAGTGTTCCTTGCTCTCCGCCGTTTATTTCTGGTGCTGGAGCAGCAACACGTGCTGGTCAGGACGGACAGTACGGCGGCAGCGGCGTATATCAACCGCATGGGGGGTATGCGCTCTCGCCGCATGTCTCAGCTCGCCCGCCATCTGCTCATCTGGAGTCACCCGCGGCTGAAGTCGCTGCGCGCCATTTACATCCCAGGTATGCTCAACCGTGCAGCCTATGTGCTCTCACGGCAGCAGA